CTTGGAAGGAGCAAGCAATCAACTAAAAGCTCCAGAAACAGGAGGACATACCACATGCTTTCCGAACAAGTGAATCCCAAAGTAGAATAAGTATCTCACCACTTCAACAAATTTCACAAATGTCACCTCGTCTAACCCTTGCCTATTAGAGGTTACAACCTGAGTTTTGTGCTGTTACACATTTTGAGACCCTTATCAGAACCTACCACTCTTGTGCTTTGCCAAGAGGCAAAATAGAGTCCCACAACCTATATCTTCTTTGATCTGAAGGACTCTGGAAGATAACTGCAATTGAGAGCAGAAACTGTCCTGTCCTGACAAGACAGGCTGTAGAAAGACCAGATAGAAGCCCCACATTCATAAAGGGAGTCTAATTTAAGTTGCATATACCATCCCCCCCCCCCCCCCCCAACTTTAAACAGAGCTTACTATGGCTTCTGTCCTGCTTTCTATTATATTTGCTCTTCCCCAACACCAGGCTACAGGACTAAGATTACTTGCAACTCTACTCTGTCATTTATAGTCTTTTCCATTTCCATCACCTTCTTTGAAGAGTGTAGGGTTAAAAAAAAATAAAATCAAGAACAGAAAACCAAAGAAGTCTGGGAATAGGACTTGCTTTTTTTTTTTTTTTTTTACTTCTCATCACTTTGCATCAAGACTTCAGAGCAAAAGTGAAAGAGTTTCTTAAACAAGACCTACTCTGGCATGGAAGACACTGAAAACAGGCAAATGCACCAATTATTTGCCCACATCACTCCAGAACTACATAAGACATTTCAAATGTTCAAGAGCCTGCACTTGGATGCTCAAAAGTTGCTTCTTAGTCCAAAATACCTAGATTGCTCTTAAAAGAAAAAAATCTTTCTCCACCTAGAGCTGAGCAAAGTTGGAGCTGGCAGATGCCTACATGAAATGCAGGTAACAGGAGAGTTTCAGTTAGAAACAAACACCTCACTGCAGGTTTCTCATATCACCTCATCAACAGGGAAGGCAGCACAAACTTATCTGTGAAATTTGTGGAATTCCTATTGTTTGTTAAATGACTGCAAATCACTCCCACAAAGCAGAATTTTAAAAAATTGTTTAGACTTAACTGTTATCTTGTTGTGAAGTGAAACGAAAAATAATTTCAACTGAATGAATGGATTCCTCTTCCACAGCAAGGGAAGAAAAGCTGCTGTGCGCACACAATACACTTGAGGCTTGTTTGAGGCTTTGTTACTTTTAAGTGTGCATTGGACTACGGAAAATGAGGGGATGATGCTTAGTCTTAGAAGAACATTTGAAGTTTCAGTGAATTATCATAGTTTAAAAACCAGAAAACTTAAACTAGTGATACTTTCTACTTCTTGACTATAAATAGTTTGCTAGTCATTGCCTTTGCCCTCCCTTCTTTAGGGTAAAGCACTGAGAACTTTAAATAGTTTTCTTAAAAACCAAGCTAAAATTCCTGAACAAATCCAAAGTACAGTTTAAGAGATTACCAGTACTTATGACAACAAAAAACTTCACAGTATCTCTTCCTAAGCTTTAAACTCAAGTTCCTTTCTTCCCCCAGAAAAGGGGAGTGAAAAGAAAAATAACCCACAGAGACTTCCTTGCAGAGAGGGTGCCTAAGCAGCACCAGAGACATTTCTGTGTATCTCCTGTACCAGAGCAGAGGAGTGCTTCTCCTTTTCCTGACACCCCTCCCTCCGCAGCATCTAACAGCTCCACACTGGGCTTGCACAGAATCTCTGCTGCCCATCCAGGGAACCAGAAGCTGCTGAAGATACAGGTATTAGAGCCCTGGTCTTGGCTGACCAAGATTTATTAAGGTTTTGAAAATGTCTTTCCTCTGTCATAGTCAAGAGGAACTGGGCAGGAGTTCCAGTAGCTATCACAGCAGGGGATGTGCATGCACGTGTGCTCACACATGTGCTTGGCTGTTAAACTATACTGTCAGAACTGAAAAGACATTTCAATATTTCCCTTTTGCAGAGCCATAGATCCTTACAAACACACAGCTGCCAAGGAGAAGAACGCAGCGGTGTGAAGGGGCTGGGAATCTGAAGAGAGGCTATCACACAAGGAAAACAAACAACTCCCCCACATTCATTTTCTTCAGTTAACATGTTTTCAGATGACATTGATCAACAGGAGATGTAGTTCCTAGAAATGCTCTAGTCCCAAAAGAAGTTGGTACCAGATGCTAGACACAGGGAGTCAGTTGAGCCCAACTCTAAAGTAATACAAACACAGTGGGAAGAACAAAGTCATCAACATTAGCAGGAGTCAGAAATCACTCACTCCTTTGCCTCCATTAGTTAGAAGCAAGGCTTTTCAGCAAGATTGGAGAAGAAAATTCATAATTTTCTGCTCATGTAAGTGACATGTTAATAATACCAAGTGAAAACTTGTATTCTATTGAACAAGACTGACTACATAGAGGTGGACTCCTATGGAGGGAGGCACTAGAAATTATGGACACTTGTGAAAAAATTGGTAATGGAATAGTCTTTATAAAACCCATCCCTTGTTCTGTGGAGGGACAGGAGACCACATGCGAGTTTGTGTATAGTTATGTTTAAAGGATTCCTCTCCTGGGAAACTGGAAAGATATGATTGCAGTGGATAAATCCAAGTTCACATTTAAAGAAGTGTTAGAAACCAGACCTGGCTGTCTATATGCACTAGCATACACATGTATATTTTCAATGAAGCAACAAGCAAAAAGACACTCCCAAATAACAAGGCAGGATGGGAAACCTGGAACTTCCTAATCTTGCTGTGCAGCTGTGGTACCACCTCCTGCAACACTCAGGAAGTTAGTAAAGGGAGCAGGAGGGAAGGCATATTCTACATCAGGGTAGCCTCTAATATGGAAGAGTTTTCTAGATCATTTCCTCACGTTTATCGCCACAGCTTCATCCACTGCCAGTGCCCTCTGAGGTGTCTTCCCTCCAACTGTCTCTTCCCTTTCTCAGCTCTTAACTCCTTTCTTACTGAACAACTAACTTAACTTGAGAGGACATGAAATACCATTGCAATCGTGCTCTGCACTGATCCTCTCCCCTTTGTTCTGTTTCTTATTTAAAACTCTTTAGACAGAATACTATATCTTTCTAAATAATACTTTGCATAAAGGTAATCTGCTACCACCCAGTTCCTGAGTACTATCACAGGAAATATACATAGCAATATGCAAGATTCTCAGGTAATGCCCCATAATGGGCTTTTTATTGCCACAGATAAGTACTATTGCTTATAACTGTGCTCCACAGTTTCCAGTACACCCAGGTCAAAACCCCCAAATCCCTCACACACAAAACCCCCAACAAACCAAGCTTCAGTACTGCAGTATCCAGCATATTAAGCAGCTGTTCTGAAGTGCACCGGTGTTTCTACTGACAACACTGCCAGATACTCCTAGGAAGGAGTTATCCTCACAAATCCAGTTCACAAGTAAATGGAGCAAATCAAGCACTGGAGGAAGCAAGAGCTATTTGCCATTTAATAGCTTCTGCACACCCAATCTCGAGGCAAAGGATGAGTCTTCTGCAGACCTAATAGGAATAGTCATGCAAGCTTTGTTCACTCCACCCTGAAGGCACTCACAGGGTGAAAACTGGCTCAGCAAGCTTTGCAAATCAAGAAGTGCAGCAAGTATGGGAGGTACAGAGGGTGCAAGAACAACTCTGCTCCTTCTGTATGCTTACACATTTTAAAAAACCAAAAAATATTTCGAAAGACCCAAGTTCCTTTCCCTGCTGGAACACGATTGCTTTGCTCAAGTTTTTTTTACTCAAAATTTCTCATAATTGTCCTTCTGTCATTACTCTTACACAACTCCGACTAACAGCTTGCCAGAAGTCTGTCTTCTACATTAAGAATTGGTTTGAGACAACGAGTTCAGCAGCAGTAATACTCAGAGCTAACAGTTACTACTAGTCAGTTCTTCCTTGGTCCCTCAAATTTCATGGCATTTTACACACGGTTTTACCTTGAGTTAAAAGAAATTTGTGGCTCTTTGTACATAAAATGTATAATTTTGGGGCTGACGTGTGTGTGTAGGTACAGATGGAAGTTTTTTCACCTGAGCTGTTGGACTTGGAATGGTTTCATCGCTGTACAAAAATTTCAAGTAATCTGCTGAAAGAATGAGCCCCCAAGTACTTTCTAAAGGAAAAATAACCCATCCAGTTATCGGCTGGAAGATTCTGTTTGCCTTGTCTTCAAGAAATACATAGCCAAACACCAGCTATCCAGTGTGTTATATACTGAAATATGTATTTTGAATGACTGTGTTATCTTCCCATCTCCCATGACTGTTGGGAGCAATAGAGTACATTCTCCATTTGCCTGCAATTTGTTGTTTAATCAAATGTTACCCATCAAATGAAAATTCTGAAGACCTCTAATAATTTAAATGAATGAAGATTAATACCCAGCTTTCTCCTAACACTTTTATATCATGCAAGTTTGCTCTTACTGATCACAACCATCTTACAGGTAAATGGAGATGTAAGTACATGAAGGAATGTGCCCAAAAATCCTTCAAACTCCTGCTCCTTCCAGTTTAAATGCAGGTCTCTTGAATCTCTAGTCAGTACCCTACCCCATACCAAAACCTTCTAACTCACCAAATGCCAGCAAACTTGTCACAGTATAGTTTGTGTGGCAGAAATCAAGGAAGATTCCCACCATGCAGCCTCTATCTATGGGGCTGAACGTCTGCACTTTCTACAAGATTGGCAAGAGCTTGGTCAGATTCTATGCACTAATCTGCAGCTTCATTTCAACCTATGCATTTTTTCCTGTGTCACCCACCCCAGCACATCCATACAAAAAAAACCCAAACAACTCTGTACACAACTAGTCTTCAGACTTAGCACCTGCTTCAACAGTTTTTTTAAAATCCCAAACATTACATACATGTCCAGACTCTCCAAGTGCAATTAACTTATACAGGTTCTGACACCAAGTTGGTACATTTCAGCAAGGTGAGGAGAAATATTATCATCATATTTGTCAATAAAAAGAAAACAAATTATTTCACCCTTTTTGGTCTCTGCATCCTCCACCCCCAACACTGTCAAACAACATAGGGCAGAGACAGTTGATTTCAGCCACACTGCATAAACATAGCAACTTCACAAATATGAGCATCAGCAGTTAAAAACCAAGACAAATCACAAAACAGAAAGAAGTTAGGGTTTTATACTTTCAGAAGCATATCTTTCCCAGAATTCAGATTCAAGCTGAATACATTTGGATAGACTGACTAAGCCTGTAAGAACTTGGAGAAAACACCATTGGCAACTGCCCAAACCACCCCCAGATGGCACTGACTCTCTAAGGGTTTCCTGATAGTCAGGTAACACAGGGTGTTTTGCTCCCCTCTCCCAGCAGGTAGGGAATACACAGTCTGTCACCATGCCTTAGCTGACACATGCAACTCTTTCCACAGAAGCAAGACATACCCCAGATGTTCATGTAGTGAGAAAGCAAAGGCAACTCTCCGAAAGAGCTGAAGTAGCTCATTGTCTTTAACTTCTCCAGCTCACGGCAAAGTACTCCCTAGACAATGTGTTAAGTTTTTGACCATAACTTTAAGAAGCATCCATCATCCACTTTCTATGCCACAGAGGACTTTTCTTCATGAGATTCAGACTCCTACTCTAAGTGCACTGCTTTGCTTCAGACAAGGGAAGAGGTCATTTCTGCCCTTTCACTGGCAGAGATTAAAATTCATCTGCAGATGACAAAACAGAGCAAACAACCTCCAGTATTCAACTTGATGGTTAAACACAAAAAATCCACACTTACATATCTATTTTATGGCATCAACACAGGTACAGAGTCCAGGCAATACTAGTCCTGCACTGTGAGGCCAAATTAATTCAGAAGCCACAGACACCAGAAGCAACCACTCCATGGACACAAAGCTAGTCAGGGGAAGCTATTAAAAACAATAGCAAATGGAACCACCAAAAAAAAAAACCCTCTCAAATTCCTTTATCCCTCCTTGCTAGCTAGCTTTTGTGGTCACTACTTAAATAGCTCAATAGGGAAGTCAAGTGTTTCTGTGTTCAAGAGTATGTTTGAGATGAGTACTGAAGCTTTCAGCAAGAGGGGAGGCTGCCAGGGAACCAAGGAGGAAGGCCCACCCAAATCATTCACTGCTTCAGTTCGTGTGATTGTACAGGGCATACAAACAAAAGCAAACTGAGACTAGTAAAGAGCCAGACAGGACTAGGTTTCAGACCACTTCAGTCTACTCAAAGTAATTTTAGACATCCCTATCACTGAAAACAGAAACATTACTGACTGCGTCTTAGTGCCAGCTGAGCCTCACCTTGTGAGGTGCAACATGTACACTTTCCAGGAGACTGAATACCACAGTATCAACAGCATGTTTGCCTTGGGTTTGCTCCTGTAGTAGAGATTCATTATGAGTTCACATCAAGAATGACTATTCCCTCTCCTGAAAATTAAGATGTCGCCCAACATTCACTCTTACCTAAAAATAAAATATAAAAATCTAACTCATGTAATGATCAACTTCAAACTCTAATATGCAATTTGAACAAATGTGCCAGTTACACTAAACTGTGAAGTTTAAAGAGAGAAAGCTATAAAGATAATAAAGAAAACATGCAGAAGTCAAAAAGAAATACAGGATTTTTTCCATGGAAGCATTCATCCTCATACACTTATATCTTGATCTTTGTGAGAAAGCTCAGTACAGCTCCGAGTCACTCAAAGTTATACCACCCCTAAACAAGTGTTGCAAGCATTACTCACACATCTCTGTCCTAAAATTCAGCCAAGACTGTAACAGCAGCAGACATCATCACTGTTAAAAGGATACATTCTGTCATGGCTGCAACATCGAGCTTGCTAACTTCAGGTGAGCCAGGGCAACACTTCTTGAACTCTTTCCGCAAGTCAAAAAAGGAGTAGAAGCATTCAGGCAGCAAAATATTCTGTGAAAAGCACAGAGTAACTACTGTCAGTTAGGGAAGTTTAATCTACTTTGTCCTTAGATACAAAACTTCCTAACAGTTTATGTATAACGGGTAGGAAACACAAACAGCTTTTGCTACAGAGAAACTCACATAGCTCTTCTTAGCCAGGTAAGTAGGTTTATAAACTTTTTTTGCTTAAGCAGCTTCCTCTCTCTATAGTTTAAAAAGAGAAATGTGCTTTTGCACTGCCAGAGAAACATTTGCGATTATTACTAGAGACTCAAATCCAATATATATGTAGGAGAGCAAATGCCTTCTATTGCAACATTTATTATCAATTCTTGATTCCAATTTTAACTGCAAAAAGCCAGAGGACGGTCAACTGAGTTTATAGAACCAAGCACATTTTGCAAGGCTAGCAGATGATATTTTTGTTTATAGACAAGGTTGAGTTTTCAGATAGTCACACTTAAAATATTTATTCCCAACAAACAAAAAACCCCAACAAACAACAACAACAAAAAAATAATCTGTGTGCAGATGAGGGTTTGACATAGTGCAAAGGTTGTCAGTCTATACGTGGTAACTGCTCTAACTGCCACATATGAAGCCAGGACCAAGTTATGTAGCTCAGTGGAAGTCAGGAAAACCCTTTTCGCTTTTAATTTTTTATTGGTATAGAAAGGAGAAGACATGAAGTTTTAAAGGAAGCTGTTGAAACCAACAAAACTCCTTCAGTTAGATCTTCACCCCAGAGCTTCCCCACAGACAGAATGCTTCATATTCCTGTTGACTCTTTGTTGCCTGCAAGACCTCTCTAGACTAAAAGCAAGGACTTTCTGGGATTTGGCAACTGGTTAGCATCTTGGCATTACCACAGAATAACATGCTAGGTGAAAGCATTTTATTTTCATGACATTTAAGGAGCCTAAAGAAAGAATTTTAGGCTCTAAAACAAGTTCTGCTTTGAGAACATTAGAGCTTATTTTAGGATACGGACAAGTGCATTAGGTAAATGACACTCTTTAAAGACAGTTATGAAAATGCAGATGTGCTTGGCAAGATCTCCTGCTCTAGCTTTAGCATGACTCTTTTCTTCCTTGAAGTGAAATGAAGTCCTGTACTTCACTGACATTCAGTTGGAACAGTTGATGCCAATTCATTCTCTGAATACCATGAGTTGCTAGATGGGTTCAGAATGGGCATCTTAAAAGAAAGACAGAAACCACTAGGCTCTTGTGAAGATATTTCTATTTGGATTTTAGCAATCCCCCACCCCAATCTCTGGATTAGGGTATTCACCAAAGAACTATTACAGCTCTCATAAGCATCTGGTTTACTTAACGTACAGGCAGCACAGATAAAATTTCAAATGAATAATTCTTAACACAACAGCAATGGAAGATTTTGATGAAGATTTGATTTCTGACTGTGACCCTGTGATGTTACAGAAAAAGGATGCCTATCCCTGACATCAAACCAACTTAAATAATTGTAGGAGGTGTCCCTTCTTTAATCTGCATAATTTAAATGCATAGAAAGATTTATCATAGTAACATATAAGAACATCTGTTAAAAACCTGTTTCCACATTTTCTCACATTATCATCATAGAAGACAAGTATTATATATATGTATATGACTGTCCCTTCACCATGATTAATGCCCACTGTTTCTTTTCTAAGCCTTCAAAGGTATAAATGCTTAAAGCACCGCAAGTATTACAACCAAACTTCCTCAGTATCAGTTTTGTCACAGCACAGACTTGCAGCAGTGCCCCTTCAAAGATGAAGCAGCAAACTGATGGGCACAGTTGCAGCAAGAAGAGCAGAACAGCTCAGTTACAGAGCAATGAATGTTCATAGCAAACCACAAAACGAGGTATTATTAATATTGTAGCAGTTATTTCAGCACTAGAGAGACCCAGCATATTGCTGCAACCCTATCACTAATGAAAAGTAGGCAGGACCTCATAACCCTGTTAACAATTTGGCAACTCTGAAGTTATAAAAAACTCCAGACTATGGGGCTAATCATCACTCAGCCTGCCTCAAACTGCTGCCCAGCTCCTTATAAATATGAACACCGCCCTCAGAGTGACAAATGAATGCACAAAGATTCAAAGTTGCTGAAGCTAAACACGAATTTAAAATTTCAAAAGACGGTTTATGATTAAGGTGGTTAACTATTTAGCAACATTTCCAAATCCCACCTGTTAACCCATTGTAGCTCCTAGAGCTGTAGAAGCTACAAGTACTCTCAATGCATTGCTCTTTTCTCAAACACTTAAGAATATCTTTCTTCTGTTTTAACTCAAAAAGACGTCAAGGCTACATAAGCACAGGGCACTGTCTGTGCCTTCCACATGGAAAAGCTCTTTAATCTGGTAAGCATATCAACATATCAGCAATGTTTGTGCTATGCTTGTGTAGAGGTATCCTCACACTAAAGAGAAGTTGATCAGTTTTTCAGGGCATCATATAAAGCACACTAAGATACAAGCTGTAACTACATACCTTTTTGCAAGTTTCAGGGTGCAGAACCTGCCTAATGTGTAACTGTCCATCCGTACAGAAACAGAAGGAAGTACCTACACCGATGTTCAGCTCATTGCTCACGGACTGATTAAACTGTAAGCAGGAACAACAAAAGACATACACGTTATAAAGAGATCAGAGTGGCTGCACTAGGCAGTGTCATCAGCTGGTAACATGTTATCTCTGGGCAGCAGGAACATGGAGCTGGAATTCCTTTACATATAAGCCTACCCCTTCACTTCTGTAGACTAGTTTCTCATAAGCTAAGCACATGTTAGCTTTCATGATAATTATCTTCACAAGGCAAACACCCCTCTTCACCCTTTTCTAATGAGATATGGCCCCACAGACAACCACATAATCCTTTCCAAGAAACACATTCAAGAGCACTGCAAGGAGACAAAGCTGGTTGCAGAATGCTGAGGCAGAAGAGCTTTCAAGACAGGGCACTCAAGCATGTTGGAGAGGAGACAGGCTTTCAGCCCTACCCTCAATGGGAATCACACACAGCTCTTTGTTAATCTAGAGGCTTCAGTACTGTCTCCTTCCCAGGACTGATGAGCCACCACAAGCCTTAACAGGGCCTGCCACCACCCAGCCTCTCCAGGGGACAACTAAGCTTGGCTTCTTCCAACACTGATTGGGGCTCACCCTCAGCTGAGAATCACTCAGAATCCAGCATGGCAGGAGTCCAGGGTAAGGGAATATATGACCCTGATATTTGTCTCTTGGGGCTCAGTTCCTCCCAAGGAAGAACTAAACAAGCAAGGAAGAAATGCCCACAAAGCCCTCTACATAGAGCCTGCCTGGCCCACACATCTGTGGTGCCCCTGTGCCAGGCTTTACTGCCCTGATGGTGAGACAGAGGGGCTAAGTGAGTAACATTGCCTCTACCCCACAGGGGAGCTCCCAAGAGACCAGCACCCAGCAGCCAGTTATAGGGTGTCACCTGTCTCAATGCCTGCTCCAGCGGTGGAGCCAGTGCCAGGCTCTCCACATCCACCTGGGTGATCTCCTGGCACTCGGCCGTCAGCTCCGGGTGGTCCGGCCGGACCAGCACGTCATGCAGGTGCCCCAGCTCCAGAGAAAGCAGAGGGAGGGGCAAGTCAGCTCCCCAGACTGGAGGTCTCCACCTGCACACCAGCCCCTGCCCTCCACCCCCACTGCCAGCCCAGCGCCGAGACTGCCCTGCCCGCACCCAGGCACCCTGCGGGGCCCGAGGGACGCAGTAGGTCGCGGTGCTCCCCTTCGGGTGAAAATACCTCCTTACTCCTCAAGTCGACCACTTTCCACAGGAGCTGGAGCAGCTCTCGCTCG